GTCTCTGTGTCCTCTATTCTGTACCATTGGTCCACCCGCCTGTTTTGGTACCAGAACCATGCTGTTTTTGTTACTATTGCTCTGTAGTATAGTTTGAAATTTGGTATCGCTATACTGCCTGATTCACACTTCCTGCTTAGAATTGCTTTTGCTATTCTGGGTCTTTTATTTTATTGAAGAATASAAACAAAAAAAGAACTCTTACAGTGCAAGAGGGGACCTGATAGCAGGTTTTCTCCCTTCTTTTAATTTCTATAATAAGAAAAAAAACCTATACCAAGCCTGAATCTGACAGACTTTTACAGGAAACACGGGCTGAGGAAGATGTCACAATACTTGGTCCATATACTCCTGCCACCTTTTAGGTTTCTTCTCCTCTCCAACTTTTACCCTCCCTTTTTCTAAGTGCTAAACATTCCAGTTTTTGGATCTATTCAATCTTACCACCTGGTTAAATTGGATGTGCACACCMCAAATACGATTAATGGTTTGTTAAGACTCTTTCCTTTGCAAGAGATTGGAATTTAGTCCAAACCAGCTTAGAGCAAAAGGAGATTTTTTAAAATTTTTTGCTCATGGAATCAAAGGAAACTTACCAGTCATACTGCTAAAAGACAGGGATTTAGCAAGTCCTCAAAAACCACTGGCACCTGGGACTTAAACCTACTGGTAACAAGTCCAATTCTTATTTTACAGCTTTTGACCAGCTGGAAGGGGCTGWCTTACATTCTTTATAACTCAAAATTCAAAAATGCTGGGCAAGAACTTCAAATGGCACGACTTGGTCAGCTGCCTGACCAAGTACCAACTGCTTATGATGTGTGTGTTCTATAAGAACAAAGCACTTCTCAGGGAAACCAAATACTTGAGGAGGGATCTTTTCCAAGTAAAATGAAGAATTTTACCATAGCCATAGTACTCTGGAGTAGTTTTCACTACCCTTGAGTAAAACACAAGATAACCATTTCTCCAAGTTCCATACCAGCAGTTTAAACAAAGTGTCCAACAGACCACAGAGGAGGGGACAATGATTGCTTGCCAGATAGCACAGAGAAATACTTCCATTGATGCCTCTTGAGGTGAGCCTTTAGGATTGAGTGTGATTTGTCAAGCCAAGGGAGGATTCAGGGGAGAGAGACTTCCAGGCTTGAGCAAATGGACATAAATACCTCCTCTTCCAGAACCTCTCCTTTCACATGTTGGGGAAAAAAATATACATGAAGTCATCAGAAAACAAGGGATAAAAGTATCATAGGACAAGGACAGGAGATTAAGCGATCATTCACAAACTGTGTGAACAAACAAGTGATTTAACCCCCCTACAACTTGACTTTCCAATACATGTTACACAGGATGCTAATGGTATCCTGAGAAGGCTCAAACGATGATTAAATGGGACAGTCCCTTAGCCAACGCAAGGGCTCAATAAACACTAGAGAGTGATATTAGCAACTTTTAATATAYGTAAGTGTAGCTGGAAGGCTGTATTGGATACTGTATCCTGGCTAGATTCTATACCTATTTAAAGTGAGTTATTTATGAAGACCAGTCATAATTATTGTGAAGTTCTTTAAAATGCTCCTTTCTATAGTCCGGAGATGTACTGTGGGCACAAAGCTAAAGAAACCACGAAATGGAAATGAGAGTTTAAATGCTTTGACTCAACTCTAGATTGAGACGAATTAAAAAGGAGGATAAAAGTAAGGCATGCTTTTACAAAGAAGACCAAAAGTGCAAGGAAGAGGTCCTCCGGAGGACTGCAGAGCGCGGGGATGCAGTCCCAGTGGAACCCAGGTCAGGGGAAGTGAGATCCCCACGGAGCCAAAGCAAAGGCATTACCAAGAAACCCCGCRATTCAGAGGAGCTAGACCTCGCGTTCCCGGGCAGCGAACACCAAGAACAAGCTCGAGAAGCAAAGCTAGCCGCAATCTTCACACCATCTCGTCCGCCACCGAATCCGGCCTTCCAAAACCGCCATTACCAAGAGAGCCTGTCAGCTCCTTCACCTAGCTGAGTCCCCTTCCCGTCTTCCTCGGCGCGACGCAGTGACGTCACTTCCGGTCCCGGCGCGCACGTGGGAGGAAGTGCCGGTGCCCGCGGCTGCCGCTCCTGTCTCTCTGGTTACGCTGGTCCGCTGGCCCAGCCGCTGACTCCAGGTGCGCTGCTGCTATGGGAGTCCCAGCGTTCTTCCGCTGGCTCAGCCGMAAGTACCCTTCCATCATTGTCAACTGCGTGGAAGAGAAGGTGAGCAGGCGCCAAGCGGCCTCCGCGGTGGAACCCGAAGACTTGGTTTCTCTAGGCCGCGGCCCGCGGATCCAGCCGCCTGGCCGGGAGCAGCCCTCCGGAGCTCGTGCCACCCTGCCAGCTCCGCGGGCAGCCGCTGTCTGACGCGCGGTTGGTCGCGGGCTCAGGGACTCGGGATCCCTGGGAACAGCCCGAGAGGGGCGGGGGCGGAGCTGGGTCAGAACTCGCGGGAGGGCCGCTCCTCCCCTGTCCGCTTTTCCCGGCACCGGAAGGCTCCGCCCACGGCTTTGTTTCCTCCCGGGACCGCGCATTTTGGGTCTCTGTGGAGGCTCTACAGGCTCAAAAGCTGTTGAGCCACGCTTGCCATTGGTAAGGGTTGCGCGGATGCCGATTCTTGCTTTTAACAACCTTTAAAGTAATTCTGTCAGTGATCTTCTTGTTATTTACTATCCGACAGAGGCCATTTGTTTCTGTTGTTAAATCTTAGGCGAAAAGAAGCATGTGAGAAAGGTCTAGGAGGAGACAGAGGTCTTATAAGTGCCGCTTTCTCGGTGTGTGTCTGCTACTGGACAGCTTGCTTGTTGACATTTTCAAGATTCTTAGATGCACTCGAACAACACATTTTTTTTTGTTGTTGTTGTTAGTTTGTTAATATGTCGATAGATTCTGGGCCTTTCTTGAGTTCTGTGTTTAGCGATTCTGTGCGAGTTCGATTTTGTACTCTTATTTAGAATTTATGGACTGGGAAGGTTCAGGGTCACGGTTGTCTCCTCCCGTTCCTGGTTTTTGAAGTCAGCACCTGCCTGTTGCTGTGAATTTCTTTTCCTTATATTGCTGAGATCTTGATTTTTACTTTCTTAGCTTCTAACCCGGTAGAAACTAAAAGCCTTGTTTTGGTGACATTCCCAGTATTTCTTGTGTTTGTTTCCCCCCCACCCCCAAAAGAGAAACTGCTAAACTAAATGCTTGTTCCCTTTGTAAAACTTTTATCAGATTTTACATTCCGGTGGGCTAAAACAACAAAAACAAAACAGTTCCTTGTTCTATGTTTCTCATCCTGTCCTCTCCCGAGGCAGACGTGTAACTATCTCAGTTTGTTTATACTTAATTTTTCAGTTTTAGCTATTTCTAATTAGTTCTGGCCAAGGGTAGGAGAGGATTTAGTTACTTATTCAGCCCCCCTTCCCATCCTCCTAGTGTAGTAAAGCACTATCTTTATTTCTTTTGTTGGCAAACTTTGTAACTTCAGGTAATACATCTTAAAAACAAAAAGTCCATCGCCTTTGTAAAGTATCCCTTGAGTTATTGGTTTCTAAGATTAGTATTTCAAGTTTGTCAGCAGCACTTTTTCATTTTTGACTTTAGCTATAAAAGTTTGTTTCTAAAAGCTGAGAGATCTGATTGTATCATTGATTGTTGTCACTGCAGATTCACGTTGTGTACTGTGATTCTGTTTTTATGCTCCTTTTGTCTTTTTCATAGTGCTGCCTTTCTTTTTTTCCACTTTACATCTTTTTCACCCAAAAGTTCTTTTGTTTTTTGCTTTCACTCAAATCCTTTTTTTTGGAAAAGAAGTTTGGAGGTTTATTTCTGTTGCTTTCACATTAGTTTTTCTATAGGCTTGCTGGAAAGCTGCTTCCTGAAATTTTCAGTGGAAGGTACTGTTTTCTAGATTATCTCTTTTTGTTGGATTAAATCCTTCCTTGGTTTTTATTCTCAATTGATTCTTAGGAAAAGCTGTTTAGGATGTGGTTTTTCTGTCAATGTAGTGCCCCACATATCTCCATTCTATCCCATACATGTGAATGATCATAAGCTGGGTATAGAGTTCAAGTTTGGAAACTAGTTTTCCTCAAAACTTTAAAAGCATTATTCTTTTGTCACTCAGTATCGCTGATAACAAATTCAATGTTAAAGTGATTTTTATTTATTTAACCAACGCTTATGTAGCATTTACCATATACCAGGTACTATTCTGAGCACTTTCTAGATATTAACTTGTTAGATCCTTGTAACAACTACATGACTACTGCTACTACCTATAACAAGGGTAAGAAAATGGAAATAGAAGGGATGAGTAACATATTTAAATTTTCTTTTCTTTTTTTTTTTTTTTAAAGAGTGAGAGAGAGGGAGAGAGAGAATTTTAATATTTATTTTTTAGTATTTGGCGGACACAACATCTTCGCTTGTATGTGGTGCTGAGGATCGAACCTGGGCGGCACGCATGCCAGGCAAGCGGGTTACCTCTTGAGCCACATCCCCAGCCCATGAGTAACATATTTAAGATCACTCAACTAATAGATGTCAGAGCCAGTGTGTGAAAACCAGGAAAGCCATGTTCTTAATATTTGTGCACTTCAGCTTTCATTCTCTTTTGATCAATTTTTCTTTCTGAATTTTATATGATTTGAGTTTTTTGGCGGGGGTGGGGGGGTAGGGGGGTGGCAGGGGTACTGGGGATTGAAACCAGGGATGCTCTACTATTAAGCTACATCCCCAGCTCTTTTTTTTTTTTTTTTTGAGACAGGGTCCAAATCACCTAGGATCTTGCTAAATTGCTGAAGTTGGCCTTGAACTTTCGATGTCTTGCCTCAGCTCCCAAATTGCTGGGATTACAGACCTGCTGCACTGCACCCTGCTACTTAATTAATTTATTTATTTTAGATGGYGTCTCTCTGTTGTCCAGGTTGGCCTGGAACTGGAGGGTTCAAGCAATTCTCCTGCCTCAGCCTCCCAAGTAGTTGGGACTGTAGGTGTGCACTACCGCACCTGCCATTTTCTGAATTTTAAACTTTCATGATTATGTACCTAGGTACAGATTTCATTTAAAATTTAAATTCATTTTGATCAGTATTTGGAAAAATCTTTGAGTCTGGAGTCTTGTGTTCTTCAGTTTTAGGGAATGTTCTTTGATTATTTCTAGACCTTTAATGTCCCTTACCAAACTCTGGATATTGGTCCTCCTAATCAGATTTTTCCTCTTCTGACTCTCCTTCTATAGCTCTCCCCTTTCCTCCTTTTGCAGCTTTATTGAAGTATAATTGACATAAAATAAATACATGTTAAAGTGTATATACAATTTAGTATAATCTATGTATACATGAAATCATAACCACAATCAAGACAGCAAACATCATCTCTAAAACATTCCTTCTGTTCCTCTGTGATTCCTCTCTACCCTCCTTGTGGCCCATTTTTTGTCAATCATTGATTTGTTTTCTGACCTTACACAGATAAGTTTTCATTTTCTAAAATTTTGTATAAGTGGTATATAGCATGTACTCTTTTTTACCTGGTTTACTCACTTTCATGTAGCATTAAGTATTTTGAGATTTGCTCATGTTGTTACATGTATCAGTAGTTCATTTCTTTTTATTTTTGGATAGTATTCTAGGCTGTGAATATACCACATTTTGATTATTTATTTTTCGATTGATGAGCATTTATTGTTTCCAGTTTGTCTATTTTTATAGGCAAATATCTATTTGTGAATATCTGCATACAAGTCTTCGTGTAGACATGTGCTTTTGTTTCCTTAGGGGAGGAAAAACTAAGAGTGAAATAATTGAATTGTATRGTAGATATATGATTATTTAAAAACCTACCAGACTCTTTTTCCAGATTGGTTATGCCATTTTACTTTGACATGAACAGCACATGGAAGTTCCAGTTCCTTTACTTCCTGGGTGTAACAGTTGCTGTTTCTAGTTTTAGATATTCCAGTATGGTGTTAGCTTATTGTGGTTTTATTTTATTTATTTATTTTTATGTGGTGCTGAGGATTGAACCCAGGTCCTCGAATGTGCTAGGTGAGTATTCTACTGTTAAGCCACAATCCCAGCCCTTATTGTGGTTTTAAACTTGCATTTCCCCAATGACAGGGGATACTGAGCATCATTTCAGGTAATTTTGTCTTCTCTCTTTTTTGTCCCATTTTCAGTTTGACTAGACTGTTTCTCAAATAACTAGTTTTTGTTTTGTCAATTTTTCTTTATTTTTTTCCTGTTTTTTTATTTCTTTGACTTCTAGTGTTATTTTTATTCCTTGTTATATTCACTTTGGATTTTCTGTTTTTTCCCCTATTCAATGGTCTTGATACCTTTATAAGAAGTCATTTGACCAAAGGGATATTGGTTTATTTCTGGACCCTAAATTGTACTGCAATGATCTATATGTTTAACCTTGTGCCACACTGTTTTGATTTATGGTCACTTTGTAGTAAGTTTTGAAGTCAGGAGATAGAAATCTTTTTATTTTTTTCTTCTTTTTTAGGATTATATTAACTATTCTCTTTCCCTTGCAATTCTATTTGAATTTTAAAATGAGTTTGTCAGTTTCTATAGAAAAGTCAGGGAGATTCTAATAAGGAGTTCATTAAATTTGTGAATCAGTTTGGGGAGCATTTCGATCTTAATATAGAGTCTTGTGTTCATAAATGTAGGATATTTTCCCTTTATTTAGAACTTCTTTGRTTTAATTCAACAATGTTTTGTACTTTCTAGAATATAGGGTTTGCATTTTTTTTGTTAAAATTTTTCCTCCTTTCTTTGAATATTATTGTGAATAGAATTTTTTTGAATGTTCACTGCAAATTTATAGAAATTCAGTTGATTTTTATATATTGATCTTATTTCCTACAACCTTGTTGAATTCAAATTGGTTCTGAAAGTTTTCCAGTGGACTTTAGGATTTTCCGTAGACAAAAATCATATCATCTGCAAGTATATTTTTATTTCCTTTCCAACATGGATGCCTTTTATTTCTTTTTCTTGCCCATTTACCTTACTAGAATGTGGACTAGGAGTAGCAAGACCAGGCATCCTTGTCTTGTTCCAGGTCTTAAAAATAAAGCATCCAGATTACCATTAAGTATGATGTTAACTGAGGGTTTTGGGTTAGATGCCCTTTCTATTGAGGAGCTTCACATACATTGCTGAGTGGTTTTTCTTTTCAATCATGAAAGAGTATTAGATTTTATCAAATACTTTTTTCTATGT